GCCACGACAAAAACGGTTGCGTCCCGAAACGTCTGTGAAATCAGTTGGAGTTTAAAGCGCTGAATAAGTATCGTTCCCAGAAGTCACAAAATTCGTGAATTTTAAAGCCCGAAATACTTCTGCTGCCTCTGGTTAGTGACCGCAATCTTGCAAATACCGTGCAGTTGCACTCGATGGTATTCACCGGTGATGGTCAATGTAATTTGGGATGTGATTGCATACTCTGTTTGACAGAAGACCTTACTGAGACGTTTTTATTGATCAGAGTGTTGTCATAACAAAGAAACACCCCTTGCTCCTACCAACTTGTAAAACCATGAGGTTCGGACTTTTTACTTTTATTTTGGTCAAATATTCCAAAATATGAAAGTATAGCCCCACTGTCTGAGCCTCTTAACTCTACAAGCTTATCCAAATAAAGTGTTTTGCCATTCCTCACACCTGTTTCAATCTCATCAGATTTTTTGTTTTAATTTCACTAAAATCAGAAGAAAAATACATGCGCATAACTAAATGTTTCCTGGAAGCATATTTTTCAATTAGTGCTATATACTGACCTTCCAAAACGCCTCCCCTGTTCCATTCCAAATGGTTTTAAGAGTCATATAGATCTTTCATCATTAAACATGCAAACTAACACATAATAAGATAGTGAGACAAAAACAATTGCAATAGCCTTCAAAGCGCCGTATACATCGCTTTCGAGTAGGTGACACCAAATAATGCTGACATTTTTCACCAACCAAAAACGACTTATATATAAGTATGAGTTAAGCAACCGAGTGTGCCACCCATTTATTTTACTAACTTCTCCTGTATGTTAGCAAACATTTGCAAGATCACTTTGTAAGAGAATATTTACGTGCTATTCAGCTTTTTTCAAAACTTGACTTGTAAGGCGGATTGTATTTTAAATTTTAGAATTCATAATATTTAAAATATTGAACTTCATGTTCTTCTGAATCAAGGTTATATGACTCAAATTCTGATAGGCAATGGATTTGTTTCGTCGACAGATCCTTCAAGGTATCGAGTTTTTTTATACATCAATCTCAATTGAAGACTACTTAAATGGAGAAGATAAAAAGCTTGAAGAAAGGATCGATTTTGTTTACTTTTTCTCATCTAACCTATTTTTCAAAGAATAAGTATTTGAAGTTCTCAATGACCAATTTTAGTTGGGCAGTAGTCACTGTCAAGTTGACCCTTATCCCGCTCCGGCTTCCCATATGCGGACCAGTAGATCGATGAAAAATACATCACTGTTCTTTTGGGACCTTTTATCGTTTGTATAAAGATTAATGTATATGGTTTAACACAGTCTAGATTTGGCTGAATGTGAAATTCAATCAATTCAATTATTGGAAGGGAAAGTGAACCTTGAAAACAGATGGAATACTTTGGTCACTGTAGACTATCGTGATGTTAAAAACCAGAACAGCTAGGTGTCAGTGCTAAAGCCACCACATTTGCCTCGAATTTATCAGATTGCAAATACAGCCAGAGCATGAACAGGTGGGAGTAACAGAAAGTGATTAATGGAAATGTTATGATTTAAACTATTCGGCATTATTCGGGGCGCAGGGATCTACGGACAACACTAAGAGAACAGAAAATATTCATCGATTTCCTGTTCCTTCGTAAATTTTACGGAACTGCCTACTGAGTAGACGTCGTTTGGAATGAGAAAATTCCAAAGCACAATGTCTTATCGGTAGTTTGATGACCATTCTAAGTGGCACAGATGGACGGATACCGAGCCGCTCGAAAGTGCGCGAGATCTGCAACTCTTACACCTCGAATTGTGAGCATGTTTACAAGTCAAACGTTTCGCTTTCAGTAACCGAAGAATTAATAGCGTGAAATATCGTTTTCACGTGAAAAACTTACACCAATATGCAAGAAATCAAGTTCTAAGTGTTCATTGATAATTAACTAAGGTGCTGGGAGTGTGACGGGGACTGAAGAAAGGACAGATGAATGATGAAGATGCGGTCAATTTTTCAACCAAGGATTATAACATTACTGCGGCTTAATTCTTCGTGGATTTTTAAGAATTGAACGCAAGTTTTTGGCATTGTCCAAAAAGGGTGAAATATTTGATTTCTGGACAGGATTAAACGTCCAAGGTGCCCAATACACTTCAAAGACCAATCGCACCGATGACCATTGTCATAAATAAGAATCTGTGGTTAGTATCCCTCCCTTATTTGGTTTAGAATCAGGGCTTTTAGAGAACTCCTTTAGGTGAACTAAAAGAGATGGATTTCCTTAGAACTTTCTCTCTTCCTTTATAGCTTTCTGATAAACAACAGGCATGTTTAGATCGCAGTTGACGCATATGGAATTCTCCTGCCTTTTACCAAGTATGATGCATATGGAAAATATTGTAAGAAATGATCCCTTATTTGTTTTGGGAATGTAAATTTGCTCGCAATTCTTGTTATCAAAATTCAGGCAAAAGCTATTGCAGATTTTATTACCTTAAATTAAGCAGAATAGCAAACATTTCTATCATATGTGTTTGGATTTGATGAAATTCTATCGAACCCCGAGCGAATAGGAAGCTAAACCGACAGAATCAGGGACGTAGTTCAACTAAGTTACGTTTCTTATGAGCCGTGCGAAATTAAAATCCCTCGAGAGCTAAGTCAACTCACTTTAGTTGTATTGTGCAGAATAGTCCTGACAGTTAGTAAAACGGTCGACAGTCCTGTTCAAATCTTATTTGAGTCCCACTGGGACTATGTACGAATATTTTCAAATCATTACCAAAATGAATGAAATACAATCTCGTCATTGTAAGTTCCGTATAAAAACTCCTTAATCAGTATTAAAATACAATCGTGTTACTTGTTCATGATTCGTTTAAATTGCTCAATTTTTATTTTTGGTTTTGTGAGCGGCATCAGCAATAATTTAACTACAGTGAACATGATTATTCTTAATGGTCCGCAAGAAAACATGTTCGAGCCCCTGTACCATCCATTGTTACATCAATGCTGCTGCCGATTATGAAAATATATCAACATTGGCTTGATAAGGCAAGAATTTTATGATTTTGAAGAATTCAATTATTGTTTTCTTACATTTTCTAATTTGGATACTTCAGTAGGAGTGACGCTGTCCACTAACTCGGACAGGTGAGAGTTGCAATTAGCTAAGTTCATTTTCTTGAAATCAACTCAAAGGACCCGAAAGTTTATCTCAAAACGGCGTGTTATTTTGTTTTAAAATATATATCTTATGGGTGATTTACTTTTTAAGTGTTGGGAGCAACATCGAACTACAATATGTGAGACAATCAATGAATACACTTGTGCATCGATGCGTATGTGCCCGTATTACCTGTTGTGAAACTAATAAAACACACCGAACTCAACCTACTTGCATTGCTAAAGCGATTTTCTGTAGATATTTTAACTGATATGATCATCTACTCTTATTACGATTGCACCTGTATGAAAGGCATAATAAAGTGCTTGGCAAAAACGGAACTTTGAAGCGGTCGTACTGGTATAAATCCAACGAAGGGAGCATCACCAAAAAACGCATAATTGAAGCTGATGTAAACACTATAAATATATGTAATATGTTTGAAATAAAACTTCGCGTTACTATTGGGTTTTATTGGTTTGAGGATGTAAACATTAGTTTTGGTTAAAAAGGTTAAACTGAGTACGAAAGAAAACGAATCGATGCCTGTCTACAGGTACTACTGGTGCAGTAAAACAGATTATGAGTACAATATACCAGGACCTGTGCACACGTATTGATTGTAAATGAGCTACAGTGACATAAACATGCACTTTGAATAATAAAGTATAAAGTATTCTTTACGGTGATTTGGGGCTTCCTTCCCACAGAATGGCGTTTGAGTCCTATCCGATTCCAATCGGTGAGAGTCAAATATGAATCATGTTCTCGGTGCAAATGGACTCGGATGAGATTCTCATAGGAATCAAACAGAATTCAAACAGGACTGCTGTGCTGTATGAGATTACTGCTAAGAAAGCGCCGCCGTATTTGCTCCTCAAATGGCACTTTACTTAATGACCATATGCAGCCCGAACCATGAGGTTGAAACATTATACAAATATGATACAAATATAAATAGAGAATGCAATATAAAACCCTGTCAAAGGATGTTACATTTGTATACAGATTCATAGTCCTAACTGGCGGATTTTTATGAAATTCCTAATTGTTTTGGAGGAATTTATTACTAGTCCGCCATTTTTGAGCTCACCGAGTGCTAATGTTGATTTCTACTGATCTGATCTAACCCGTAATTATTCTAGCTAATTTCTTTGGGTATACTGATATATTAGCGTGTTATAATTAAACTATATCTTACGACAACTAGATACACCATCCATGTTTCACTGCGGGCAATCTTTGACTTTAATTAACTGGTCTACTAGGTTTTCAGATCTGCGGTCTGAGGTCCTGATGTGTGGATGTGTCCATGAATATCTGCAGCGCAATGGTCAGTAATACTTATTCGATAATTAAAATTGCATTTAAGTCCACCAACTCTGTTGCCATCCATTGACGGCCATTTTGAGAACATTAATGTGGTAGCAATATTACAGAATATCCCAACCTTTGCTTAATTCTTTGTCTTCAGCGCCCAGCCCTCTCCAAGTTCCCTTTCTTCCGACCTGTAATAGTCCCTTAAGCAACTTGGATGTTACTCGCCTGATAGCACTAAATAATTTACCACGAAATGGATTGCAGATTCTAAAGCCTCGTCAAGCACTGAGTCTGGAGGCCTTCAACGTGAGGATCCTGATGCACGTAGGCCAACAAGCTTGTCTGGATCGAAAAATGGAATCCTGAAGGGTTGATATTTACTGCATGTCGGAGACTCGAATCCAGGATCTTACTACTATATGCCACTTGAGCGCGCGAGATTTGTCGACGAGATACATTCTTCGCATATCGGGCGACGAAGCTCGTTCAGTAGGTTAGCGCGGGGTAGGTATTGTACTCAGTAACAGGGCTGAGTCCTCTCTTGTCGATTGGATCCCCGTCAATAGTCGTTTATGTGCAGTGCGCCTCCAGGGTTTAATCAGCATGCAGAAGGGAAACAACAATAAAAGGTGTTCGTTCATCGTATCGGTATATGCACCAACCAATTGCAGTTCTGATATCCAAAAGGACGCTTTCTACGATGAACTCACCAATCTGATTCGGATGAGTCGAAGCTCCAACATAGTTGTACATACAGGTGACTTCAACGCGCAGGTTGGAAAACTGAGCGCATCAGATGCTTGCCTAGGCGTTAGTTGTGCTCTGCCCTGCCAAGGAACAGATAACGGTGAACGACTTCTTCAGTTCTGCTGGACCATCATTTGTTCCTATCTAGTACCAACTTCTGACACAGCTCTCGACGGACGGCAACGTGGAGATGTAGTTCAAACGGTACACCAATTCAAATCAACCACATCGCAGTAAGCTACCGTTGACGTGGCTCAGTGCAAAATTGCAGGTCCTATTGGACCACTTGCGTTGAGTCTGACCACGCAATAGTTTTGATGCAGTTTACTCCCCAACTGACTGGTCGGCGACAAAACTAACAAACTAGTATAGCTCATCAATGACTATCTGTTTCAGCGGTTTGTGCACTCTAAATCAGACCTAGTGCACGATCTAAGCGCGCCTCAACGTGATGATGTAGATTAGCATTGGGATCGGATTAGGCAAGCAATGCATTTCGCAGCGAATGTTGCTTGTGGGTCGGAGCTCAAGCCCGTCGGAGGCATTGGACACCTCAGAAGTCAGGATCAAAATAGAGTTAGGTGGCATCTGCAACGTCAGATTACGAAGAGCCTCAAGAAGGACCGTGAGAACTGGTGGGCAACAATAGCTAGTGAAATGGAAGTAGCCGCTGCATCAGGGAATAGTCAAAGACTGTTCCGACTGATACGCAATAAGAGAGGTCGGCGAACTCCAGTTAGTGAAACGGTCTGCGATAAGATGGGATAAGCTATTCACAATAGGAACCAAGGACTTGATCGCTGGGCGGAATACTTGATCAGGTGACTTAGTGCTAGTCAGGTTGCCTCATGCGCAACTGAAGATCCGTGGACAGTGTCATGCGATCCTCCAGCAGAAGCAGAGTTGCGATCTTGCATTCAAGCTCTGAAGCGAGGAAAGACAGCAAGGTTAGATGAGCTCCTTCTCAATCTTTTCAAGATGAAGGGTGATAACCTCGTAAGCTCTATTACTGCCCTACCGCGCAGCATTTGGACGCAAGAGCACGTTCCTTCATCTTGGCACGAATCACTGATCGTTCCCACTTTCAAGAAAGGATCTCGCGACGATTGCA